ATTGACAAATTATCATAAAAACACACTTCAAAGTGGGTTATAAATATATTTGCAATAAAAAAATATAAATGTTTCCACTCTTTTTGAGGGTAGCGAGCAGCTTTTTAATGACTGATAGAAGAATGTTCAAGGTTTTTCCGGAGTAACTCGTTAAGAAATAGTGCTTTCCATTATCGACATTTACTTTAATATGGTACTGTAACATTTTATGATGCGAGTGTGTGGATGTGACTTTGAAGGTCAAATATTTATCTACATTCATCTGCCTGTTCTATACCCACTCACATCCTCGATGCTATAAACATCCTTTAATATGCATAGTTGAAGTCATTTTATTTTGATTTTAATATGTTCATACACATTAACATGGGCTTGGCTAACTTCTTAATATGTCATACTTTGACATTTGCTCACCGGTTTCTGTACATAAAAATATCGACAAGATCGAGTGATTCATTCTCAATTTCTTCTCTCTATGTAATACAAACTTCATTAAACTCAATTCACATGTGTTTTTTCTTGGAATACTAAGCTTCATTAATTGATTGTGCCTATTTGCGCTCTTCCTTGGTGAAATTACATGCCTTTCTTGACGTCTCTTCAAGAATAATTCGTTTTGAGTGGTGATTATGCAAGTATATTTCTACTCAGAATATAGCCAATGAAAAGATATAAAGGATATAGATGAAAACAGTGAGACCAGGAAAAAAAATAGATAGCTTTTTCTGTACCTGATGGAACAGAGAAAGAAAGGAAGGGATTGATACAATATAGAAATAATAAAACGGAGAAAAAATGACCATGATCACTTTTCTTCTGCAGTTCTGTGAAATGATAGTAAAAAGGACAGATTTATTACATACAATTGCAAACTAAAGTTCATACAAGCAGCTTGAAACGCTATTCATTTGAACATCTTTTTAATATCGTTGGCTTGCCGTCTTATGCGGTATTACTGCTGCTGGAATATTCACAAGGGCATTTGGTACATCACAAACAGCGAATGTAAAAACTTCTTCATCGAATGCTCCACGAATAGAGATCTGCTTGCTTGCACTGCCTCTGCAGCATGGTGCGCAGAAACATAGACAAAGACAACACGAGATGCTTCAACAATCCACCGACGGACAAAAGTTTCGGACCACAACCGCATCACTCATTGTGCTAATATCTGAAAGAAAAAGCACCGTGTCAACATGCTCATTCTTGACGACGTTGAATGATTCGAGCATCGGTTAAATTCACCGTAAAAGTTGGTCCATATCCACAATCGCCTAGTTCCTTGACATAAGTCTTCTTAACTTGTTCGTTAGGAACGAGTTTAAAACTATTATCTATAGTTTGAGATTGTTGGATGATTGTGTATGCAGATCGCACTGTTTTTCAAACGAAAAACGATGACTAGTAAGTTTCTATTTTTCTTATGAATAAAAAATGCGATGAAATCATTTGTGTTTTAGAGAGACGTATTCTTTTGGGAATATTCTTCGCTAAACATAAATGGTACATAGAAAAACCTTCAATTAGTCTTCGATTCGATCATGTTCTCTCAATTCATAGAAAAGAATATTCAATTTCGTACTTATTCATTGGATATTGTTAAAAATGAATTGTATGTAATTCTTTCAATTTTCCAAGTACATTCAGTCGACAAATATTAAGCAAAACGTTTGTACTGTGTTGATAATATATCATATATATATCATTCGTCTTCTTGCATTCGTCTGTTAATTGTTATTCCCTTATTCATGATCATCTTACTTGGCAACAATATTCAAAGAGAATATAACAGGCATTGCTTCATCTCATTTTCATTTTTGAATTCGCACAAAACATACAGCTTTCAAAGAGATAAGTGTCTTGCATTTTATCAAGTGATATTGAGAAGCACAAAGTCAATAACTAAAGTAATGCGCGGCTTGATAGCACTTTAGAATATCTTTTACAAAATGTCTCCGTCTTTGTCCTTGAAAAATGTCTTTCATAGTAAACGTCGTTGGTGAAAATGTCCCTAAGAAATTGTCTATAGTACTATGATCCTCTGAAAAAAATGTCCTCCATCATTAAAGAGTCTTTTCAGTAAAGTATGAACAGTATTCAGTGACAATATTAACTTTATTATTAAATTTATTAGAGTCCCTAATTCTAATTCGATTAGCAATGTTTAGTTGTGTAGAGAAAAACTTTATAACTTTTGTTCACAACGTCTGTTCAAGCTAATTTTTAGTCTTCAGAACGGAGTATATATTATTCTATCTTTTCATTTTTTATTCAGAATTAATTAATCTTTAATGAGCACTAGTCATTACAAACAAATACACCTACTCATAATTTTTGTCCATTCTCCTTCTTTTATAAATTGATCAGCTAAGCTATTTTTGTTTCCTAATTGGATCATTCAAGCAAACTTGTTCGAAAACTTCGAAAAAAAAGTTGTTTTGATATGAAAAATGTCTTTAATTCCAAAATAAATTACATTATTCGCTTTCTTAGGTCGAATTCTATATCGCCAATATATTTTTTATATTTCTAAAGTGTAATCTTCATTAAGTTTTTCTTATTAAATTTTTATAATGCTTGTGATCGAATTAGACAACTGATCTAGAATCGATCACTCAAGTTATCTTGAACTCATAATTTGATCACCTAATCTTACTCGACTTTCGTTTTTGAGATAGATGTGAAGTTACTTCAAAATTGATGAATTATTATTTCAAATTATTGAGTATCTTCGGTAATGCTTTAAAAAAAAGGACTTCATTCACTTGTTGAACTTCATGATGTTGACATGAAATGGAAAAAACAGAGTAAATTCAAACGAACACTTGTAGAAACATATACTGAAGTAGTCCGTTTCAGTTGATCTATAAAACTTGGAAATGTGACCTTGTCGGCAAACCTAATAGGATTTTTGATGTAGATGAAACTGGCTTTTTCAAATCAAACGAAAGGCTAATAGGCTACTACAAATTGAAATTAATCATTTTTCTCTTTTTCGAGGAATTGGTCATAGTAAAATCTAAACGAAGATATATTTTTGAGGCCAATGATGCTACGGAAAAAGCTTGTCGAACAGCACTCATTTGTGTTAGTGCTGAGGGTTTTGTTGTCGGCCTCTTGTTTTTCTTTTCTGGACAATATCTAATCGATTTGTAGGGTAGCGGTGAATCGAATGAAGTACGTGAGCGTGGTTGCCAGTGTTTGGGCGAATGTAGATATGACTTTGACACGATTTTGGCTATGGCTATGACTTAATACGTGCAAGTATAAGTGTGGGAATCTGTGTGTGGGTGTCTGAGTGTTCACTTTATATACTTCCAGACTCATGCCAACACCTCATACACACCAACACGCTCGCACACGACATCCACACTCACGCTCACAAACCTAGATTCCAACCCAACTTAGACTCAGACCTATATCATAGTCACATTTACATCTGATGAATGGTGAAATGGTCGTTCACTATCATCATTGCATCCTTAGTCACAACGCTATCGTTTAGCCCTACATTTACATTATTTTCGCAAATTTCGACCTGCTTTCGTAACGATAGAATTCTTCGCATCTCTCAATTGATGTGGATATCGCTTTCTTTTCAAACACAGGCGCAGCACATAGCCATACTCTACTCAAGATTTCGTCTCCTCTTTTTTTTTGTCGTTTGTCCTTGTGATGATCAATATTGAATGTGATCTCGTTGTGTAAATACTCGTCTTTGTGAAAAAGTCGAGAATTCACAAAGAAAAAGATCAAAGTAAAGCGGTTGGTCATTTCTCTTTCGTCATTTCTTTCATTGTTTGTTTCTGATTATATATTAAATAAAACCATGTCGACCCATTCTGTCTTTCGTTAATTCTAATCATTCAGCTTTCTTTCTTTCAGTATTCACTGATTTTAATTACTTTTACATGCAAAAGTCTGACAAAGAGAGATAATAATTAGTACGAACATATCTTCTCTGCTAAGTTCCGAAAAGTGATATTTTACTCGATTACATCTAGTGATAACATAAGAACTGTTTCTTATGAGTTAATATAAATTATCTTCTTGTTCTGTTTTGGTTAAGAGACTCAATTATAAAAGAAAAAGCAAAGTTTTAGAAGTAATATAAAGAGTTTCTATTATCCAAAGAAAAAGATGGTTCGTTCACACTTGTTCTACGTCGGCTTCACCACTCTCTCCTTCTTCTACAAAGCATAACAAATTCATTGTGAATAAAAATGTCATCGAGCCCAAAGCATACTGACCTTCACCTGTTGCATCTTGATATTGTTGGTATTCACTGATCAGATCGTTCATATTCACTTCGGCTTCAACTAGTTCCTACAGTTCAATCCATTATATATTCGACTGTTCAATTTTGTGTCATTACCTACCATCTTATCCATGCTTTCAATCTGATAGAAGTGCAAGAAAGCTCTGCGACGAAACATAACTGAGAATTGTTCAGAAATACGTTTGAAAAACTCTTGAATGACTGTGTTATTACCTATACGAACATTTTTTGTTGTACATGTAAGAGCGAGTACAGCTCTCGATAGTCTTACCAATGAATGTGCTCGACATTTTGAGACCATATGGTGGAATATTACATACAGCAGTTTTGACATTGTTCGGAATCCATTCGATAAAGTACGACGAATTCTTGGTCTATACATTCAACATTTGCTCTTCAACTACTTTCATAGACATTTGACCACGAAAAATGGCAGCTACAGTCAAGTAACGACCGTGACGAAGATCACAAGCAGCCATGATGTTCCTTGCATCGAACATTTGTTGCGTGAGTTCAGGTACTGTTAATGCACGATATTGTTGTGAACTACATGAAGCAAGTGAAGCAAAGCCAGACAGAAAGAAATGAAGACGAGGAAATGGTACCATATTGACAGCCAATTTACGTAAATCAGCATTTAGTCGACCTATATTTGAAATCAAAAAATTTTCATCCAACACCTGCATTCAGTTGCAAAGGAATAAGTATTCTTGAGCAAAGTTACACGAAACAATATCAGTTTTTATGAACAGATTGATAATATCGTTACGATCATTTTATCCTTTAAACGTGGTAACTTCATTCCCATCTTTCTGTTCTACATAACTCGAGACAAAAAATATCTTTTTACCTGGAAATCGAAGACAAGTAGTCACACCAGACATCGTAGCAGAAACCAAATGATTGAGATCACCGAAGGTTGGCATCATTATCTTCAACGTTCGAGAACAAATATCGTATAGAGTCGCATTATCAATGCAATATGTTTCATCAGTGTTTTCGATCAATTGATGGATCGACAATGTAACATTGTATGGTTCAACAACGATGTCAGATACCTTTGATGAAAAAATACTGAATGTCATCATGATTCCTAGAAGAAGCAAATAGAGAGCATGTCAGAGAGGAAAAATCAATGAAAACTCGCGATCAGGATATTCTTCTCGAAGCTTCGAAATGAGCAATGTGCCCATGTCTGATCTAGTGCCACCACCCAATGAGTGTGTCAATTGAAAGCCTTGAAGACAATCACATGACTCGACTTCTTTGCGTACAACGTCTAAAACAGAATCTATCAATTCGGCTCCTTCCGTATAGTGACCTTTTGCCCAGTTGTTGCCAGCACCTGATTGAGCTAAAATATGAGAACCAATTAGGTATTAACGAGTTTGCCACAGGAGATACAAAAGCTCGAAAAAATTATTTCTAATCCCTTCATATCTCGTATCTATCAAAGAGCATCATTTTTAATTGGTCCAATATGGTCGAAATTAAATTTTAGAATGCTATTGATTTGTCAACTGATTTGTGACTTTGTTGGACAAGATATTCAATTTACTTACTGAAGATGAAGTTGTCAGGTAGAAAGAGTTGTCCAAATGGACCACTGTATACTGCGTCCATAGTGCCTGGTTCGAGATCAAAAATGATAGCGCGTGGTACATATTTACCACCTAATATCGAAGATATTGTTTCAGATTTCTTGAATTCTTTCTAGAAAAAATTATTATTCGTTTCAGTATAGTAGACATTGATGCGTTCTCGTTGAAGATCAGAATCGTCATGACAACTACCGGTTGAATCAATACCGTGTTCGGCTGAAATTACTTCCCAAAACTAATGAAAGGAAGACGATAAATCATATAGCTGAAGGCAATATTTAGTATAGGCGTACTTTAGAACCGATTTGGTTACCACATTAATCCGCTTGAAGGTGAACAATCTCACGCATCTTATTGCAATGTACGCTTTATTGAATGAGCAAAAGGAAGAAAATCGACCTGTAATAATAAACAGAAAAAATCATGTTCTATGATGGAGGACAACTGTAAGAGTTAGTTAATGAATAGTTCAATGACGTCACTATTCGCAAGTGCTTGTCAATTATTTAAGGTTATGTAGCTTCTTTTCAAGAAAACTGCGCTCACGTTGACTATTATAGATATATGGAACTATTTGAAACCTATGTATCGATTAAGGCATTTTCACATAACTGAAAACCACTGAACAGACAAGAAAATGATGTTTTCAGTTATATTATTGAAATTTTTTTTTTGTCAATATTTATTAAGAAGCAGAAAATTAATGAAATATGTGATCGTGTTGAGATGAGAAGTATGACTGAACTATAGCAAAAATATCAGTGATTTCCTTCCCAAATCTTCGGTAGATTCGAGTAAAAGTTTCTCAAATATCTTCTTTTTCTTCATAAGCAACGACTAAATCCTGGAAAAAGCATATCATTAGGAAGTATACAAAATTCTGACGAAAATTTCCGCTCTGTAACATATTTGAAAAATTCTTGAACTTTCTTCTATGATGATCGAATATGTTATTTAGAATTTAATTCACCGAAACTCAGATAATTTTTCTTAGTAATTATTCGTCATTATAAACAGTTATTAGAAATTCTTGCATTTCGTTATATATAAATTTTCTAACAAACGAAATTTTTGTCATCTACCAGTATGAATCTCTATAGAATATAAACATGGTACAAGATAATCTGTTTCACATGGTAAATGTTAACTATACTTAATGTGTAAGAACTCTATCAATCGAAACTGCCCATTGAATATACTAAGCATCTTGAATGAAGCCTTTCATGAAATTACTGTATAATGATTAGCAATTAAAACATGTTTCGATATCGTATCGAATTATTCTTTTTTATAGTTCACAGCTATTCTGGACTGTCAACTTAAAGTCTAAGGCTAGCGTCATTATATTGAAACCAAATATACTTACGTGCAAACTGATATTTGAGTATATAAAATTCGTTTTATGCGTGCTTCCAGTTAATATTACTAGCTATATATCGTTGATAACATTACCTATTTCTTTCAACTTACATTTATTTACATGAATCAACGTGACATGACTTTTTCATTATGTAAGCAATTTCTGTAGTTTAAATGCATTCGTCATTATACGTGTTTTGTTCTTTCACAATATTTTTTCTCTATAGGTTTTTTCTCTCTTTGCATTTTGTATCATTATAATAGGAAAATGTACACTCATCTTTGTTCATACGAGCTCACTAAAGAAGATGTCTCGAAAAGAATCGAAATGGTCTTGGTCAGCAATCTTCACGCCGATTTGGATTGAATTCTCACTTCGATTAAACTGAACACTCGATTCAACAGTTTCTTCTTATTCAAATTAGATTAAGTATTCTTTCAGAAGTCTTTCTTGATTGGACTACTGAGCAGATCTTTCTAGTGATTGTTGATGATCTTCGTTATTTTGCAGGAAATGAACAGAAATATGTAACAAGACTCGACTCTTTTTAGACAAAAATTCGATATTGTCCCTGATCATTATCAAGACTTGATCTTTCATTAACGAGTTTAGATTCTTTCAATGTCGAGTATTTGTTGTACTTAATAAGAATTCCTGGTTTCAATTGTCAAAAATCCAAAGAAAAAGTATCAACAACGAACTTAATTATTAACGTATTATTGGTTTTATGAATTGATAAGATGAGTTTCGTAGGAGAATGATAATTTATGTACAGTTAGATGCTCGACAAAAGTTAATCGTAATTGCCCATATTCAAATCTTCTTTGCATTTATTCGACAGGATTTGACGACTTGAAAATGAAATACCTGTAGAAAGAAAATCTTTTATGGTTTGGTCAAATTCTGTTTTCTTTGAGAATAAACGAATATCTCATCCACAAAATAAAAGAAGGCAGCAATGCGGTTAATCGACTTGAACTTTTGATGCCCATCAGGGGCTCTAATCTGTCCATCCAATTATCCATTGAGTATCCGATTTTGTGCTAACTTCATAGATTTCACAATTTTGTCAATTCTATTTTATGTTCAATTCTCTCTTAGATTTGCTTTGTATGATTCTTTTTATTTCAATAGCATGAACAAAAAAAAGTACGAGATTTTGTTTAGAATAAAATGCATGACGATGTAACATCGAGTAAATAATTTCATCTTCTAGGAAATATATTTTCTCTATTATTCTTACAGACAACAAAAAAAGTAAATAAAATATATTTCATATTTTTCGAAAAGCATTTAATTCAATTGAGTTTTTCACAATTAACTGCAACAATAATCAAATATTTTCGGTATCATTATCAGAACCTTATATTATTTTTTAGCAAAAAAAAGTTTTTAATTTACACTCGACATCTTTTGAATTAAGATAAATTTTGTAGAAATTTCACACATATCTTTAGATATTAGATTATTGAAAAAAAATATCAGGTTACCTTTGCGTGTGACATTATCTCAATTAAAATCATAGTCTCAACATATTTCTAATGAATAAATATAAAAATATTTTCGTATAATTGGATACGAAAGCTGACATACATTAAAATTTATTCTTAGATAGCTGTGACTTTTTCGACCACGTGACACTGATAGTGATTGTTCATTCTGATATAGGATCGTCAAAAACTTGAATCTCCCGTCATTTTCTTTTCTAAAGAATACATAACAATTAGGAATATAAAACGAGAAACAAATGACAGGTATATACTTCTTATCTTTTATCACTTAGACACGCAAATATTCTTTTTATGTGTCTGATAAAAATGCATGTGCATCATAGTATATTATAGCTTATCTGTTTTCTTTTCAGTATTAAATATAATATGAAAGAAGCACGCTTGTTTATTTTTTTAAATATTTTTGTCACACTTTATCTGAATTCGTGTCAGCAAGATGTTCAAAGTGATACATGGGTAGCCGTCGATGGTCTCGGACGAGTACTACCAAATGTAACACAAGTTGGACCACCACGTGTTAATCGTACAGTTGGAATTTTCTATTTTTTAACTTTGGGCAATGATGGAGTATCAAATGGACCGTATGATGTATCGAAAATTCTTAAGGCACATCCTGAAGCTCTTTACGATCTTAATAATCCTTATTGGGGACCACTTTATACTTCTCATCATTGGGGTGAAAGTCTTTTTGGTTATTATGTTATTGATGATGATTTTATTCTTCGTAAACATGCATCAATGATTGTTAATGCTGGTATTGATGTTATTATTTTTGATGTTTCAAATGCTGTAACCTATCGAAATAGTTATCAAAAGCTTTGCTCTATTTATAGTGATATTCGAATGAAGGGTGGACGAACACCACATATTGCTTTTCTTTGTCCATTTGGTAATCCTGGAGATATTGGAAGAAAAACAACACGAGCGTTGTATGATGATTTGTATGCTAATGGATCATATTCTGATCTTTGGTTTCGATGGAAAGGCAAACCATTGATGTTAGCCGATCCAGAATATGTTGACGATGATATTCGGCAATTTTTTACTCTGCGTCGTAATATTGCACCTTACAATCAAGGACCAACAGGACCTGATCAATGGGCATGGCTGGAAATTTATCCTCAACATGTGTATCCGAACAGTGATGGTGAGAAAGAAGAGGTTGCTGTTGGCGTTGCCCAGAATTATAATACAATACAATACAATAGCACTGCACCGATGAGTTGGCCAGGTGCTTTTGGTCGTAGCTATCACAATAGTACTATGGATAATCGAACTGATGCAGTTAATTGGGGATTGAATTTTGCTGAACAATGGGAACGTGCATTAGAAATCGATCCTTTATTTATCTTTGTTACCGGATGGAATGAGTGGACGGCAGGTAAATATGATACATGGAGTCGATGGACTTGGCCACCAGTAATATTCGTGGATGAATTCATACAAGAATTTAGTCGAGATATTGAACCTATGAATGGAGGTCATGGTGACAATTATTATTATCAATTAGTCGATTATGTTCGACGCTATAAAGGAGTTCACCCATTAACTCCTATAAAACCAAGTCCCATTGTAATTGATGGTAATTTCGACGACTGGAAGCCTGTACAACCAAGTTTTAAAACAGACCCAGGAACACCTGTATGGCGTGATTATCGTGGATATGGAAAAGCAGGCCCTTATGTTAATCATACTGGTAGAAATGATATTGTTGAAACTAAGGTGAGTTATAACGAAGATGACATTTATTTCTATGTACGTACCAAAAACTTAACAACAAACTATACTGATTCCAATTGGATGTTATTATTTCTTAATGTTGATACCAATTATACTACAGGTTGGCTTGGTTACGATTTTGTTTTAAATCGAGCTGTTCTATCGTTTCAAGAAACATCCCTTGAGCGTAATAATGTTAGCAACTCGTATGTATGGACAAAAGTGGCTAATGTACTCTATGCTATGAAAGGTAGAGAACTTGAATTAATGGTGTCTCGACGATTGTTAGGCATTCAACCATCATCCGTTACTATTGATTTCAAATGGGCAGACAATATTCAACAAGATGGTACATGGAGTGACTTTACACTAAATGGTGATGCTGCTCCACCGGATCGATTCAATTTTCGTGCTCAGCTCAACTAATAATGAACATGATTTGTCTTAAAAAAAAAACAGTATTAAAGCTATTTCTTCACATTGTTTACTCTGATCAAATTCGAAGGAAACTTGCCTAGTTCAGCAACATATCTCAAAACAATTATAACAAGTCTTATGAAAAATAATAAAACATAACGAAATCAGAAACATGATGCTTAAAAATTCTTCTGTACATTACGATTGTTTTTTTTTTGACTTCATTAATAAATCATACATATTGCCTTAGAAACATCTATCAATCACTCAGTATCTAGCATTTGAACTTATGATGAGTATTCATATCTGATCAATGCAAATGCCTATGTGCAAATGAATTGATACTGATTGAAACATATTTGAAACAAAAAAGCATTATCATCGTTGGTTTTGTTGATGAAAAATTTTTTTGTTTAATTCAAACTAATCGGATTTCACAATTCTATACAGTAGCAGATATTTCATCGCTTTTTTTGTTTTTACTTAAGAGATTTTCTACTTTATTTTTTAAACACAAGTGTCATCATAGAAGTGTAACATTAATTGACATTGATAAATGGATGACAAAACAACAAGAGAGTCTGTAGTAGATATAAATATTTTATGTTAAAATAACATCAATTTTTAAAGATAACAATCAAAAAATAGATTAGATGTTTCTTTGTTGCTCAATCCAGCTCATAATATTCAATGATAACTGAAATGTCGACATGAAGAAGTCCTTCTTCGTCAGCAAATACTTGTAGCAACATAAGATGTCTTGAACACGAACGTCAATAATTGACACCATGTACGAAGTATTGTCAACTTATAAAGTTTTGATGTATTTAGGGCTAGTCGAAGTAAAAGCTTCAAAAAGAGAGTTGTCGTTTTCTATTCATTAATATCGGACGGACAAAAATATACTGACAGGAAAGAGGATCTAAATGTGAGAAATTTCTTCAGCCAAGGTTCATCTTTGCTATTTCCTATTAGTCTCATCTTTGTGTTAAGCTGCTAATAAAGGAAAATATTCATCGTATCGAGTCAAATATAGCGTGTATAGATCTCTTTACCTGAAGTGTATTTTCGCTGCATCAACGTTTTTGTCATTCACCATTCTTTCGTGCAGTTTCTTAACTGTCGTTCCTTTGATGATTAGCTCTTCAGGGTGCTGTGGTAAGTGTAGTCAGAAATCAAGAGAACACTTACATCACACCTTTCATCCATCCTATTGGGACTTTGATAATTCTACAGGTTGAATTTGATTGAATTTAATTAACGAGGGAATCATTCTAAATGACAAGCAGTTTTTGAATTTAGACTTTCTTCATTAGATAGAACCTATAGAGACCAGATCAAGACTACAATGACGCGCGCCGTTTGATTTTCTGTTCTCAAGTTATTCCAATTGTAATAATTGTTTTTTGGCCTATATTAAAGTACACTGTAGAAAATCGAATGTATGAGTTTTGCTTTAACAGATTTTATTCGAAAAGATCTTAATGTTGCTACAATGTACTGAAGTCTAAGTCAAATCATATGTTTTCATCAAGAGCTGAGAAACCTTAGCTTTTATTCGATTTCCTATTGTGTGCTTCGCAGGGTGAACCAAAAATCACCTACCAAAAAGATAACTATATACTTTCATCTATTAGAGTTTTACCGAACGAACTAATTTTTGTTTTGTCGATAGAGGATACTTTCGATTTTTATTGCATTCGCTTTATAAACACTTATTTAAAGCTTTCAAGGAATTTCCAGTGATTAGTAAATTTCTTTAAAGCGGCCTGTTCGTCGCTCATCAAAAACTTTAACGCAAACTGAACTGAGTAAACTAATGCAATTTTAGGGCTTTCGTGGTTACTAAAATTGACATTAATGTGTCTAGTCCTTGCAAATCTAAAAAAAAGTATTTATATAGTATAAAAAGGAGATCTAGGTGATTAAAAGTCCACAATAATGAGAGAAAACTTGGAAAAAATACAAAAAAAAACACTATATATTGTTTCCCGAACTTCGAAAAAAGGCTTTTTTTGTGCATTGAGTCTAATCGTGGTAATTTTAAGGAATATTTATGAAGTAGAACTCTGAAATGTCCTCTATTGTCAGAACACAAACCTGTTCGTTCGATGAAATCCTAATGGATGCAAATGTGCAATTTTCTATGTAGTAGGGAACTTTTGAAACACCTTGTACATGTAGTTATGCCGTAAACTTACCGTAATTTGTCTGTTTCCCGAAAGGTATAGGTCATTCAATAGTACTGGTGCTAGTCGAAATATGATTGACACAGTCATGATTTTATATGTATAACTAATCGTAAAATGAGTATTGCTAATGCTCAATTTACCTGTTATTATACTCGATCCTTCCACAAGACAAAAAAACGATTAATGCTCAAGGGTTAAAAATAGCCACTAATTATAAATAGCAATTAAGTATTGATATAATTCTTGTTCCAATAGCTCCAAGAGTGATTTGAAGATGTAAAAATACTCTTCTTGTGAGTCATACACTAGATTGTCATTATCGTTCTTGTCTATTGTTCATACAAGCCGATTTACCATATCATATCATACACATCTTTCGATGCATTTTTTCATGATTCTTCTTATAGCGAAGGTAAGTGTGCTTTACAGCATTTGATTCAATTCTGAAGTAAACATAAGATGAATCATATTATGATACTTTTGTTTTTCTGTTTGTCGACGAAAGGCATGCGTGAGCACGAGTTATGTATAAATTTGTGCTATTATTTCAAACACAGAAAGAATGCAAGAAGAAAAAATAAAAAAAGTAACTGATAAGTAGTTATATTTGTTTTTTTTTACTTCAAAAACACATCACATAATCAATACAGTGATTCGGTGAGTATTGATAATAAAATTTTACTTCAACAGATCAGTCTAGTTGAGGGCTATCTCCATACAGAAAAGACGGCTTTTACTAAAGTTGTTGATATACGACCAGCGACTGTATACGAATTACTTGTTTAAAACATGTTTGTAGGATAAAGTAAACGGACGCTTGAATGCCGTAGGGATTACGCTAGCAACTATTTCTTTTTACAAGTGTTCTTTTTTTGGAAACTTTTTTTGTTTAAGATAACCTTCAAAAAAACTTATCAATGTGCTTGCTGATAGGACGAAAGTTTAGAACTCACAAAATCTGGCCTTTATAAATTGACGATATATTGTCAGAGCTTTGAAAAAACTTTATTTTTAAAAAATATTGAAATGAATGAATTAACATCATAAGAATTTTTATAGTCGATACGCGCGTTCTAAAGCTTTATCATTTCGAAAAAGGTCGCATTTCTAATTATCAGATAAATCTTCAGTCTAGAGCTTCTTTTCTTCTTATGATAATATATCTTCAATACATGCCATAGACAATGGCAAATATAATTTTACTCTTTGCTTCGTCGATTCAACAATCATAGTAGCCTGCTATACATATTGACTTTATCGTTCAGTAAGCTACCACAAATGCTGTCCTTTTTCTTGATGAATTTTGACACATACCTTAGTGTTTTGCTTATTATTACACTATTAACTCATATTTTTCTATATTCGGGCCTATTTTGACTGGACTAGATCAAAAATACAACCGCCCGATTAATTAAAAATTATAATAAGACTCATTTTGCTGTCTGAAAAATGAAAACTCGTAATATTTAGACGAAGCAGTTACAATCTGAATTCTACAGACTTTCAAAATGATCGAAGCACTGATATCTCACCCATTTGTGAAAGTCTGAGAGGAGAAGGGGAATGACTAGAGTCTGTGATAGAAAAGGGAAATGGAAAGAGCCCTAAACTTTCGATTGAAATTTACACTCACTATTTTCGTGGAAAATATATGTGAGTTCCATAAAAATCGTTGATCGGGATTAGAACTTTCTGAAACCAACTCAATCAAGATTAAATAAACTCGAGAAAATCAGATCTGAATTTTTTTTTCTGATACTTCACGATTAGCAGACAAGATTTGAGACATTACTAAAATTTAACTAAATTCAAAACTAGTTCTTTGTCCATTTTCCAAAGAAATAATTAACAAGATAAAAATTATATTCGAAGAACATAACTAATGTCGGATTTTTTTTACAGTGCACACTACCATTTTTTGAATGACTCTTTGAAATTGATAGCTATCGAGTTCGGATCTTAGCCATTTGAGAGCGATATGGGAGATGTCTATCCACATAAGATTCATGCGAGTCAAAGAAGCTGTTTTTTGGGTATTTTTAGTAAAATTTTTTTCGTTGTCTATGTTCATAAGTTTTCATAGAAACCTTGGGTATATGACTGTATTTCGTCATTTAATTTGTCCGAGAATTACGACGGTAGGTCATCATATACGGCCGTGTTTTTTCAACTTGACAAGACAATTTTCAAAAAGAAGAAGCCAATATAAAGCAATAGGGAAAATACCCAATAGAATGAAAGAAGCAGAATGAATAAAATGTCTGCTTTTGTAAGCGAACAAATAAGATATTCGTTTGCTAGATGTAGTACGTATTGTGACACATATTATGTTCTTTCTTTTCTATCGTTCATGTTCTCTTCTTTTTTTATTCTTTGATCTATCTTTCTTCAAATGATTTTTTTTCTATGTATATCCTAGTATACAGGTGGAAGTATATCAAGAAATAACCACCTTTCTTTCCCCCCCTTTATAAATAACCGTGTTTTCGTTAATAAAAATTATTAATCTTCAAACGAGAAAAATTTTTTTGATCAATTGATAAAACTGTAATAATCTTTTAATTAAGATCCATAATATATAAGTATATCAATATTCATATGAAAATTTTTATCTTTTTCTTCAATATAAAGTATGATGCTTGTTTATTTGAAAGCTATCTTTATTATTTAGAATAATTCCTAAGGTTGCTTGTTGGTTTACATCATATTGACTATGAGTATATCACTTAAGCCACAAAATACAAAGGCTTCTGCCACGAAACGAATTATAAGGTAATCAGAAATATTCGATTCTGTTTGTTATTAAAATTTTTAGAGATTTGAGAGATCTCCAAAAACTTCCTATACCTGGACTTGGTGTTAGCTGTCCAGATGAATCGAATCCATTTCTTTTACATTGCAATGTATGCATTCAAATATTTCATTTGATCGATATAGACAACTAAAAATATTTCTTTTTTAATTTTTCCTAGGTATTGATTAACGATGGTCCTTATCGTGGCGTTATGATTCATTTAATTCTTCATATTCCAGAAGATTATCCATTAACAGGTCCTGCTGGAAATATAGCACCGGGTTTAGAATTTGATTCGACTTATCATGGTCATATTCATGAGGATAACCGGTATGAATGTATTCATAATAATAATAATAAATAACAATTGGCTTTTGTATTCCTATTTAGACATGGACACGCGTTGTGTAATGATTTATTAACAAATTATGCTTCATATTTTCGACATATTGATCAAGGTGGTAATAAACAAGCTAGTGGATGGAGGTAAATGAAAATTTTCTATTTCATTTCAATGATTATTTTTGTTTGTGCTACAGCCCAGGCTATACACTATCTACTGCTCTTCTTCAAATTGTTACGTTTTTTGCTGAACCTGATCTGCACACTACACCATCTTTAGCTCATATAAATCATTTGCATGATATGGTAAAAAAATTTAAATGCTTAACTTGTAGTCATACATATGACCAACCAAATCCACCAATCATTGATTATACAGTAACAAATGCTCCACAAATTGATAAATCTGAAACAGAAGAATTAACATTGAAACGTGAATTAATAGAAAAATTAACATGTGGTGTAACAAAACTAAATATTTTAGAAGATAAAATTTGTGTAGGATATCCATTATTGATAAAACGTGATCGATATGGTCGTTTATGGTCAGAAGTCGTTTTAGAACTTATTTCATATGATGCATATGTTGCTGAAATACAAAAATCCGGTGGAAATAAATTAGATTATTATGAAAATTTAAAATTTCGTTCAGTGACAGGCAAAGATTATAATCATTGGTTACCAATATATATCAATGAAGAGCATTTTCAAAAATGTCAAATACTCATTCAAAATAGTATTAGTATTATTCATAATGGAACTGCTTTAGGTAGTGCTCAATATGATTTTAAACCATCAATGGCTTTAAGCGTTTTAACAACATTAATGAATAAATCAAGTGTACAATTATTTAATGGACAAATGTTTGAATCCAAACATGCTATCGAAGCATTTTGTCATTTTTTACGTTTATTAATGCATTTTATTGATATTTATCCTGAATTAGGTAAATTGAATGTTGTGTTTGTGTAACACGATTTAAAGAATCTATTGAAATATAGAGGTAGACTTTTGATCTTTCTACCTATTGTAGCAGATATTGGTAACATACGATTACAGACTGTATATCAATAGCGACTCTTTATGATATATGGATTATTTTCTTATTACATATCCGGAGAACTAAGTAAAAGGATAATGAAGAAACGTATCCCAAAATAGAAGCAATAAGAAAAATCTTTTTATAGATTAATGATAGAAGCTATATTGTATTTTACATTTTAATTATACACAAAATTGGACTGACAGATTTTGTTTGATAATTTAATTTTCTTTGTTTTTTTTTTCATTTAGATAATCAAATTAATGATACTATTGAAAAGTTTACCAAAGACTTAGACAAACGAAATAAGAAATGTGTACCTGATATTGGTGAATTTTTGATTAAAATTGCATTATCAAAAAAGTATTCATTTGATAATACAAAAGAATATGTTTATGAAGAATATTTTGCTCGACAAATCTATTGGATTCAACGAAGTAACATAATCGAAAATTTACTTGATATACAAGTTCAACATTTACCTCAAATATTTCAATCTGCTAAAGTATCTAATCATTTATTAGTATTCAATTTAGAAATGGCTGCAACATTTATTTTTTCCGGTGTAAAACAGTTCGTCAATTTATTTTTTTTGGAATACTGCTATATGTATATGTTTTAGACATTTAGATCGATCATATGGATATCCACCGGATGCTGTTGTTGAAAAATTTCAACAACGATTAAAAGCTATTAAATCTATCAATAAATATAGTGACTTTGTTAAAGCTATTCAAATGAATACGATAATAGAATCACCGCAAGATATGATTGATTTGTTAATACGTTCAATTAATATATCAAATAAACAAGGCTATACAAATATATTATCAGCCGCGGAAGAACAAGATCGAAAATTCGATCAACGAACACGATATACTAAACAACAACAATATTATAATACAAAAGACAAACGTTAATTATGCATGTCTTATTAAAGATGTTCTTTTTTTAATAATCTGGATGTGATGACATTTACTTCTGTTTATATTCCACATGGTTTCATAGTGTTATGTATATTCATAAGTTTGCTTTTGTATCAGAAGATTGTCATATTTCATGTCATATACTGACTCTTTAGAATATAGAAACATAAAAGAAAGAATTTGATTCTTAGATTATCTTCATCGAAAATATTAACTAGTATAAAGTCTTGTCATTCGCAATCATGGAGAAAAAAAAGCGTTATAATATCACATATATATGTACGAGACGATTTAGATTATCAAAGAAGCAATTTTCATGTAAATGATGAACTAGAAAGTGTATGTGAATGAAATGCAACAATGTAGTTCAGATAAGAATGTGAGTATATGTGTGTGAATGTAAATACTCTTTTCACTTATATCAACGCCCACACTTTTAGTTTTATTGCTCTGTATGAAATACATATAGAAATAATGAAATCAATGCAGAAGAATTTAAGTAGTATAAATATATTCATTGAACAATGAACTCAATCTTTGTATAAAATTTAATTAAAGTCCGACTGCTTCACAGCTGGCTTTCCATAAACGTTCGGCTGATGATTGATCAGTAGCCAACGATGATGGTTTTGCAACAGTACAGTTTCTGAAAAAAAATACAAAACAAAGTCTGAGTGAATCGATTTCATATGAATATTTGACTTACGCAAAGTACACGTCTTGTGATTGCTCTAATGTTGATTCAACAGCACAATACACAATCGTCTGTGCACCGGTCTTGGGTGTTTTAGCAAATGCAAATCTCAAACAATAGTCCAATGGATAATAAAAAATGAAACTAAATATACCAAGAGCATTTCCGAGCGGATCTTGCATTGATGTTGTTACCCAACCAGGTGTCAAAGCAAACACATTGATGCCTTCGGCTAGTATAAAGAGTAGTCAGAGTGAAACAAAATAAAAACAAAGTTACATACACTTCCATAGATCTTGTTTTAATTTTAATGTCGAAAGAATTTGAAATAATTTCGATAATGGATAGGCACCCAGCCAACGACTACTATGAAATTGTGTGAAAGCATCCAACCAATTAATTGATTGTACACCTAGTTTTAAACAAGAAAATGATTAATTTTTTGTTCATTATTTACTTACTTTTATGAAGATCAGATGAAACATTAATAATTCGACTTGGTCGACATTTTTTCAATTTATCTAGTAAAAGATTTGTGAGCAGAAAATGACCAAGATAATTGGCTTGCATGACAGAACTGAAACCATCTTTAGTGGATGAAGACGATGACCAACCAAGACCAGCATTACAAATCAATACATCAAGTCTTTCTTCCTGTTCATTGTACAATGAAGCAAAAGTTCGAACAGAGTCCAATGAGCATAAATCACATTCCATCACTCTGATACTATCTGCGTTAGAATTAGTTGTAACAAGAAGTTTGTTCATTGCTTCAACTCCTTTGTTCACATTTCGACAAGCAAGAATTACTCGTGCACCTGAATATCGATTAATTTACATAAGAAAAATGAATGACAACGGAATCGAACCTCGTTTAAGAAGATCTCTAGCAACTTCATAACCAATACCAGTGTTTCCACCCGTGATCAGTACAGTTTTACCTTTAATCGCTTGCGTACTGTTATACAATCGACGATTCACCCAAAATTTATTAAAAAGCCATGCTGTCAGCACTATCTCACAA